GCTTCCTCTTCGTATACTACCTGAAGCCGAAGAACGAAATGTTCTACATGCGATTCGTGCTTGAAAAAGACGCTGATGGGAGCGGCGCTCAGCTTCCTGGGCCAGAAGCTGTTCGCCAGCTCCACGCTGATCAACGCGAGTTGTGAGAACATCTCCTGCTGCACTTCCGTCGCAGCCGTCCAGTCCCCATCATTCGTCGAACGGGCGGCTTCCTAAAGAAAAGGATGACGACTATCTACGTGGACAGCCGTAAGAGGGTGGCCGGCTCGGACAGGGTTGACCTGGGCGTCTACAAGATCAGAGTCGCGGATAGCTTCCTCTCGACCGAAACCGGTGCCTCTACTGCATCAACGCACTCGCCTACACGGGCGCCAGGCTGGCCGCCTTGATCAGCTCCAACTTCGCCACTGCCACCTACAGCGAGACCACGAACAGCCTGAGCGTTGCCTACGACGGCGACCGGCTCATTCTGAACGACCTGGAGCTGCAGCAGCAATTCCCCGACGGTGGACTACCCCACCTTGCCGGCCGCCTCTCCGACCAAGCCCTTCAGTGTGGACCACATGCCCGGCCCGAGCTTCGTCTTGTTTGTCCGGATGATGGCGCGCAACGAGGTCTACCTGCGCTGCGCCCAGTTGGCCAACGCTAGCCGTGTGTTGGGCAATCTGGGGACGACATCCTGTCCAAGACCGCGCTGAAGAGCGGCGTGGGCACCATTGTGGAGACAGGCTCCGACGATGGGCGCTTCATGGCCCTGAACGGCCCCGTCACCCTGAGGCACATGCGCTTTCGACGGACAGACCTAGTCGTCCGACTGAGGGGCTCGTCCTTGTCGTTTGTGCTGTTTTTGGATCACCGAAGGTCTTTAAAAAAATATTTCCTATTAAAAACCCGATGAAGCAAGCGCAACCGGCGCTCCTCCTTCCGGCCCAAGAGGGTGAGATTCCCCAGAGCAGCGCCGCCCAAGGCAGCCCAAGGCAAGCGCGCCTCAAGCCCAAGGCAGCGCCCATGACCAAGGCCCCATGCCCAAGGCAGTCAAGGCAGCGCCCATGCCCAGCCCAAAAGCCCAAGGCAGCACCCAAGGCAGCGCCCGACCCCGAGGCACAGTTAGAGCCCAAGCAAAGTCGGAATTCCGTCCGGGTTTGGCAGGCGGGCAGGTGGCGGCCGGCTGGAGGCTTTGATGCCGGGCAGGTGGCGCAGCAGGGTGAGGCTTGGATGCCGGGCAGGTGGCGTGGCCGATGCCAGGCAGGAACCTCTCTCTTTAGAGGGGGTTTCCCAAATGGATTCTATTCCACCTGGTAGGCTCCTGACACTTGTCCGTCCAGGAAAAGGGCGAAATCTAAAATGCTGCGTGCAGGCGTGTGGCTGCAACATAATTCTTGGCTAACTTCTGGCTGGCTTCTGGCTGGGTTTGGTTGGCTTTCCCGCAGCCTCTGCAGCACACGCCCCTGAGGGCAATTCCAGAGGAAGGCTTCCGCGAGGCCACGGACGAGGACTTGGCCCGGATGCGCCAAGGCCGCGGAGGAAACCGCTTTGGCGAGGACGACCTTGCAGGAAAAAAACCCCGAGGCCGACGCGCTGACAAACAACGGACAGGGCCCGCCCTCCATCACGGGCCGTTTGCACAGCGCGGCCGACGGAGCGCAGGCAGCAGCGGACCTCGTGGGCGCAGGAGCAGCAGGGCTCGCGGCAGTGCAGGCCTTCCGCTCCCAGCTGTTTTTGCAGGACGCTGCCGAGTACATCCGCCTGAACGTGATGCCCCGCCCAGGGCCGCAGCCACAGCCACCTCCGCAGAGACCGACGAGATAGAGCGCCTCCTGGACAGCGCGCGCAGGAGGTGGAGCGTGGCTGGCTTCTGGTTTTGGCTGGCTTCTGGGCTGGCTTCTGGCTGGCTTTTTGGCTGGCTTCTGGCTGGCTTCTGGCTGGCATGCTGGCTGGGTTTGGCTTCTGGCTGGCTTCTGGCTGGCTTCTGGCTAGGTTTGGTTGGCTTTTGGCTATAAAAAAAGAGGTTTGGTTGGCTTCTGGCTGGCTCCGGGCTGGCTTCTGGCTGGTTTGGCTGGCTTCTGGCTATTAAAAAAAGAGGTTTGGTTGGCTTCTGGCTGGCTTTTTGGTTGGCTTCTGGCTGGCTTTCTGGCTGGTTTGGCTGGCTTCTGGCTGGCTTCTGGCTGGTTTGGCTGGCGTGGCTGGCTTGCTTTTTTAAAGTTCGCCTTGCAGAAACGCAGCTACGAGGCAAATTGCAAGCATATCTAGGGCACGCCTGCACGCAGCATTTTAGATTTCGAACCCTTTTCCTGGACAGACGAGTGTCAGGAGCCTACCAGGTAGAATAGAATCCATTTGGGACCCCCTCTAAAGAGAGAGAGTCGTGGACGAGCCTCGTACAAACTGCCTGTGGCCTTCCGATCAATGAGCACCTGGTTCCTCCTTGAAGCCGCCAATTTCCACATGCTCCGTGAGCACTGGTCTGGGTGGACGCCTGCCAGCACGGCAAGACCTTCACAAAGTCGTGGGCATTCGGCAGCAATAGCCCACGCATCACCGCAGTCAAGCAGGCGCTGCCTGAACCTGCCGCCGTTCCAAGGCCGCCAAGCCTCTGCAGACTGGTCCCGGCCACAGCCATCGCACCCACTGCAGGCCCTTGCAACACCGTGGTGGGGGACAATGCTTCCTCCTGCTCCAGGTGCACTGCGTGTTGTGGAGGCAGTGCAACTTTCAAGCAACCCGTGAGAAAAGAGTGCGCGCCTTTCGGATTTGCGGGAATCTTTGATGTGAGGGTTGTTTTGGGAACAAGCTAGAAGCAGTGCAACAGGCCTGAACTAACCGCTCGCGTGCTCCCGGGCAGGCCACGCCCTGCACGCGCTCCGCACGGGGTGCAGGTCGGGGGTTGGACACGCATTTGTTAACCTCCCTGCACCGCCGGCCGCTTGCCTCATGGCCCTTGCAAAATTGCCGTGTTGTCCACGTCGCCGCCGCAGTGTGTTGTCGGCTGAGTAAGTGCTCCAGCTACCGTCAACGACTTACGGTGTTTCCGTTCATTAGGGCGACGTTAAAAGTTGTATTTCGCATAGGTTTTGGCGTTTCCACCCTGGTCTCCGTCACCTTGCAGACCAACGCTCGATCATGGTCGAGAGGGTGGCTAGGCAGCTTCGGTTTGTTTCTTTGTGAGTCGACTCAGTCGACAGGCAAACTTGGTGGCGTAGTCGTCTTTTCGTAGGGTGGATTTCTTCGAAGTCAAACAAGTTGTTGCTTGTTTGGCATGGGTGTGTTTTTTTCCGTTTGCCCCACTATAAAAACACATGTTGGAACGCACGGTTGGGGGATTGAGGATGACGTTTTGAGGCATGATGCTTGATACTTGTGCGCATGTTTTCCAGCGAACTTGAGGAAGTTGCCGTCCCACTTCGCTTTGCAAGCAGGCAGCTGTCAAAGGTGATGAAGGCCGAGCATCTTGCGCAGCCCTGTTGGAAGGAGTTTTGACTCGAAATTAGTATATATTATATTTAGATATATGGAATGTCCCCCCGTCGTCCTCCCGTCGTCCTCCCGTCGTCCTCCCGTCGTCCTCCCGTCGTCCCCCCGTCGTCCTCCCGTCGTCCTCCCGTCGTCCACCCGTCGTCCTCCCGTCGTCCTCCCGTCGTCCACCCGTCGTCCTCCCGTCGTCCTCGCGTCGTTATTCGCACTTTGCCCTTGCGTTGCCCTTACAATCGTTGGCCAGGAGAGCGTATTTCGACTTCTTGGCTAGCTTTATGGCTTTATTCCTTCGCTGCAGCCCTGCCAGCCCACCTCCGTGTTACAGTTTACCAGGTTTGGGGTTTGGGCGGGTGCTCGCGAAGGAGGAAAAAAGGGTGGCAAATGTCCAGGAACAGCACGCTTGCCAGTCTTCTAGCGCCCACTTCGGCTTCTTGTTGTGTCACCCTTGTTGGAAAGGGCAAAATGCCGTCCACGCCCGTGGCGGTGCACAGTGGCCGCAAGAGTGTCCGTGAGAGGACTTGCGGCCCTGGAACTATTTTCAGGCTCCGAGCGCCAAGCGCCATCGGGAAGAATGCAAGGGATCTTGCAGGCTCCGTATCATTGAGCCCTTTCTATGATCCAACCTTCCGAAGAAGCCGGGCGGGGCCGGGTGGAAGTTGTCCCTTGCGCAGCGCGTGCTCCTTTTTTGATGGCATGGCGATGCGCGTTTGAAGGCGCGACAAATGCGCTGGCAAGCAAGCTCACATTTTGGGCAGTCTGTGTTCAAATTCTGGTCATCGCCACTGTGGTCTCGCCTTCCCCCTAGCCAGCGGTGCTGCCTTGTCGTGCTTGCCATCAAGGCGGTCGTGGTTTCCGTTTCTCTTCTCCTTGGCTTTGCGTCCCTGGCCAAACTGCACTGGCGACGCCCCACCTCTCCTCTGAGAAAGCTTCTTGCAGAGGTGGCCACCGCAGCATTACAATTCGAGCAGCGTGCTTGTTGCCGCCTTGCGCGTTGGGCGCTAAGCATCCGTGCTGTGACTGAAGCAGCAGGTCGGGGTCACGCGCCGCTCGGTGTGTTGGATGATGTTCCGCGTGAGGTTGGAACAGGAACACTTTGCGTTAGCATGGTCTTATATTTTTACTTTGTGTGTGTGAGGGGCCACACATTGGTGTTGTAACAGTTTTTGCTTGAAGGGTATGAACTGGCCCGATCCAGGAAGGGCACCTCGTGTTTGGGCAAAGGTTGTGATTTGCAAATTTGTTTGCTTGGTCCTTCCCCCTGGCATGTTGCCACATCAAGGCTCAAAGACATGTCAACACTTCAGCGATGGTTTGGGTCCAGCGGTTCGTGGAGGCAATCAAAGGGAAACGTGGTTAGATACCATTTATGGCGGGCCAAAGTCCAAGGTTGTCAATGCAGTTTTGATGTTGTCGAGTTTGGTGTTGCACGAATTGTTTGGCGAAATGTTTTGGTTTGTGCACACCGCATTTACATCACTGGGCCAAAATTGACTTGTGTCTCCCCTGATGGCAACTCTTTAACTTTAATGCATTAATCATGCTTGTTTTCGCTAAAAACGCATAACTCAGTGCTATATGTTCTTCCGCGTGTGTTCTCCAACAAGACATGCCGCCTTTTGGCGTGGTCCGGCGCGGCTGTGCTATGCGATGGGCAGGATTGCTGCCAAGGATGAGGTTTGGACAGCGTCGCAACTTTGTTTTCAGGGAAGACCTAGCGGCTAAGGTGGCTGAATATGCAGCAATGAAACCAAACCCAGTAAGTCTGCACAGCTGGCTTGGCGAGTTTGCCGAGCCGGTGCAACTGGCGGAGTTCCTGTGTACTGAAATGCCGATTCGCTACGCTGAACGCATACGCAACATTGCGCCGTGGCTTTGATGATCATGTATTGCTTATTTCGGCTTGCATCCATGCATGATGTGTGTGTTCTTTGCATTTTGTTTGCCTGCTTGCTTGCTTGCTTGCTTGCTTGCCAGCCTGCCCGTTTGTTTGTTTGTTTGTTTGTTCAGAGAGACACACTAACACCAAAACAAGCTAGCGCACTGTCAGTAAAACACTAATTCCCAAAAGAACTAAACTAAGAAACAATCAACGAATCAAAAAAACACAAAGCAAGCAAAGCAAAGCAAAGCAAAACACAACAAACAAGCAAAAACACAAACAAACAAACAAACAAACAAACAAAACAAGCAAGCAAGCAAGCAAGCAAGCAAGCAAGCAAGCAGCACGCAGCACGCAGCAAGCAAGCAAGCAAGCAAGCAAGCAAGCAAGCAAGCAAGCAAGCAAGCAAGCAAGCAAGCAAGCAAGCAAGCAAGCAAGCAAGCAAGCAAGCAAGCAAGCAAGCAAGCAAGCAAGCAAGCAAGCAAGCAAGCAAGCAAGCAAGCAAGCAAGCAAGCAAGCAAGCAAACAAGCAAGCAAGCAAGCAAGCAAACAATACAGACAAACCGACAAACAGTGTGTGCATGTCTTCGAGCGTATGCAGCATGCATTCAGCGCGAGAGACGTTGAGAACTAGTTTGAGACCTACAGATTCCAAGTGCATGAAAGGGGTTGTTGAGATTGCCCGCACCTGCCCAACTCAGGAGAGCATACCAGCTTGGCAAGATATCAAAGAGCTGGTGGATGTGCATACTATCCAGCTGAATGCATTTCAAGCTTTTGCCGAGCAATCAAGGACAGGCGGCATGCGAATGGAGTTGAAGGCACAGAATTGCAGCTTGAATGCCCACTTTTCCATGTTGGAGGCCTCTCATGCAGAATGCGCAAGCGGTGTGAGCAAGCCTCGATCGTGAGATTGTGTTGCCCACCGAGTTTGCAGTAGCAACGGTTTTGTGGGAAGACCTCGCATCACTCTTCCAAGATTAGAGCATGGTGATCTGATCAGAGCAACCTGCTTAGAAATGCCACAGGGTCCCTTCAAGGAATAGGTTTGGGTCAGTAAATTAGTCACCTCTACCAGCTGATTCAGAGGGTCTGCTTGTAAAGCAGGCGGTTTCTGCCGATGTGTCGTTTACGGAATCGTACGCCCATTGAAGGACACAATGGCAAGACGTACAGCATTTCAAACCTGTCGTGGAGGAAGTTCAAGCAGCTGACAGGATGACAAAGCTTTTGCTTATGCAAGCTGCGCAGAAGTTGCGAAGGCAACGCGGAACAGACAGTTTCATGGACGAGTTCTCTCTGGAGCTGAACAAATTTCTGGATGTTTTTTTGTTGAGTCGCTTGGGATGCAACATGCTGATGGGCCAGTACTTGGCGTGCACCGGTGCGTCTCCACTGAAAGGCATTGTAAATCCGCAATGCGATGCCTTTGAAGTCTGTCGAAAAGCTGCAGACGAGGTAAAGCGGCGGTGTGAAATCTCCCAGGGCAGGGTGCCCATTGTCCATGTTGAGGCCTTTACGATGGCTGGCCAGGGCGTGACCAAGGCGCCCCGGTTCTCCTACATCCCGGGGATTCTGATGCACATCGTGCGTGAGCTGCTGAAGAACAGCTGCCAACGCAGCCTGGAACTCGCGGAATCCGCCTCAGAGCTCCAGTTGAAGTGGCGCCCTGTTGCCTTTTGATGGATTTTCCTTTACAACCAATTAAAACACAGGGAAATCATTGAAATCATGGAAATGCCCTTTGACTTATGGAACTTCCCCCGGGGCTGGCTCAAGCAGTCGGAGGAGCTCCACGAGATGCCGATCCACGTGGTGGTCTGTGCGGACAAGCGCCACGTGGTGATCCGGATCACGGACCGCGCGCGGGGCATCCCGCGGCAGATCGGGAGCAAGATCTGGTCGACGCTCGGCTTCGGGAAGGCAGGCAAGCGGTCGATGTGTGCTATCTGTAGATATTTGACATTGGGCGCGCTCAACCTGTAACTGGAACACGGGGGTTACTGATGAAATTCCCATGTCGGATGGGCAATGCACATTTGACTATGGCTCAAGCCACAAAGACCTGGCAATCGTGCGCATTGGGCGGGGTGCAGCTCTGAGGTACTTGTACTCCGGAAGCCCCACGGCGATCTCTGGATTGAGTTTTGGCTACGGCATCGGTCTTCCGCTTTCGCGACTGCACGCAAGATATCTGGGCGGATCGCTGGACCTGGTTTCACTTCCTGGCTATGGCGTGGATGCCGCTGGACAGCAGAGTAGGGCTTGCAAAGTTGCCGTGTGGTCTTTGCTCTTTGCACAAAACATATGTCGGACTGTCATGAGTTGGCTTTATCCGAGGCATACTTGAGCCTGCCTCGTGTTGAAGCAGATTTGGTGGAGCAGGTTCCTGACATAGAGCAGGATGCAACACAAATAAATTTGCTGACCTTGTAATGCATGACTTGTCCGATTTGTGTGGGCCAGACAAGCACCAGCAAGGTTCTGCGTTAAAACCATTTCGCAAGAGGCAACCAAATGCTCGCCATATGTACATAGCATGGACTCAGCTAACTCAGCTGAACATGGTAATGATGCATTTTTCCTGCCCGAAGGGTATTCGCCTCTGTGTGGTACAAAGGAAAGCACTTTTGTCAAATCTCGGCGTCACGTGCAGTTGCCCTTCGCGGAGGAGCCTAGGCGAAAGCTCGCCATGCCTTGCCTTTTGTCCAGCCAAGTTGAATCCGATCTGACATTCCACCAGCTGGTTTCTGATTCATATGGCTACATGTGTTGTTGTACGTTTTCTTCGTTTTCTCCAAAACATCTGGACTGTGAACGAGCCGCACACACACACACACACACACACACACACACACATGCAAACATACATTGACGCACAGGCATAGAGTTGCATAGCATACTCAGCCACATACCGATGCAATATTTGAGGCTTCGCAAACATGCACAACAGATTAATAAACATATATATATATATATATTATATATATATATATAGATGGACCATGGCGGAGTCTAGCTGTGCAGAAGGACACAGTTGCATGCAGATTTCCACTAGGTTTGATCAAGCAAGCATATGTGTGTTTTATGCTTGCTTCCACCTTGTGCAGGACACGACCTAGTGCTAGTTCCACGACGACTGCTATGCGAGGAGGGCTGAGATAGGACACCCTGCAAACCTAGAATGTCGGGTTGGGCAACATTTGTCTAAATGGAAATCAAAAGGATATTATTTAAACAGCTGACATGCTAAGTTTTGTCAGGTGATTGCAGATGGATGCTGCCCCATACACTTGCGCTTGCAGCTTTCAAGAGCCGGCGCCTCAAGAAAGGCGAACTTCGCGGAGAATTCTCTACCAAGGTGGCAGAGGGAAGTTCCGGTTCCGACCAAAGGCGCTGGCTGGAGATTTGCAGACTCAATCTGTGAATTCAACCAATCTGTACATCGGATACACAGAGTCACCTACGAAGATTGTCCGTTTTGCACGATCGTTGCAGGGTGTTGGAGCAGCAACTGATTTCGACAGCGGTGGCAGACAGTGCTGCAGATGAGGACTGGGCACGTACCGCATCAGTCTGGGGTCTGCACGTTGTAAAAAAGATTGACCATGCTTCTCAGGTCTATTTGGGCTGCTTGAATCAGGATGTATGTGTATGGCATGCTCACCATCTTACTCCTCGCGGTGCTGCATTCTCACTGCTCACCATGAGGACACATGCCCTCGTTCAGATGGGCTTCCTCCAGGTGCGGGCGGCTCATTGCACGCAGTCGGTTTGTGAATCCACTTGGTTCGCTACAGAACACCGCCAGCCTCAAGACTGTTTTCGCAGGAGATCTGCTGTGCTTGACACCGTCAGATGAGTCCAAGGCGCCAAATCCAACATTGATGCCAACAATGCGTCAACATGAATTGGTTGCGGTTGAATCATCCGGGTTTATTCTTTCTGGGCTCCAGCAGCTTCAGCGCATTTGGCATACTTGGCCAAATGCGCCTCACATGAAGAGCCAGAGAAGACGCCTACTTTGCTAGACATTTGGGCAGCACCAAACAGTCGTAGAATCAAACAAGTCCTCGACGTGCCCTTTGCGTGTCTTTTTGTTTCTCGCTTCCGTTGCCATGCAGTCCTTCTATGGGAACTTCCAAGCTGAGCCGCTGGGAGGTTTCAGCAGTGGGGGCAGCCGCAGCAGCAGCTGTCCACCGGCAAAGGTCGCGCCTTCAGGCCGAGCTGAACCCAAACGAGGTCCGTTAAAAGCCCCCCGCCCAACGCAAGACACTCATCAAACATGAAAGGGAATGGCAAGAGCCATGGTTCTAATTGACCTCAGTTCTTTTTCAAGTGCTGAATGGCCTCAGGAAGGAATGTGTCATTCTACAATGACAGCTTCTGGCAAAAGCCGCGCTTTGCACCACCACCAATCTTCGTCTGCGTTGGTGGACGGTCAGAGTCTGCCCTCATAATGGACAAACGGCTGCGCAGCGCAGAGACGATTTCAGATTTGATGAGTCTAGTCAGCGCCTCTCTGACCTCTTTTGATGTGGGGAATCTGGTGATCGCTCTCAGCGCCGGAGCAAGAATCGCTGATGAGCGCGTCGTGCCAACGCTCCGGTTCGGCTATCCGGCGTGGAACCAGCTGCTGGCAAAAGTGCTGGAGTGCAGTCACTGCTTGGAGCCTAGAGGACAGTGATGCTTTGGTGCATTTTGCCAAGGGATGTGAGGACTTTAACTTTTTGCCTAATGGGTTTTCCATTAAACCACTAAAAAGTTAACCTTTTTAGGATGTACAGTGTTTCCTTATAGAGGATTGGCGCAGTCGCGTTGCAATTTGGTGCCATCCCGAGCAGTTTCAGTACTGCAGGACTGGCTATGGTGGCCCATTCTGCCGCGAAACTGGGATGGCGGGATGCGGCGTTGAAGCTGTCATCCTGCGCTAGTGCAAAGTCCAAGGAGCTGAATACTACTGACTTGGCAAAGATTTGTGGCCTCGGCATGTTTTTGCATCACACGGTTTTGTGTTGATCGAACCTCAGCTTCGGATGAGGTGTTGTAAAAGTTGGGAGCCCTGGCTGCCAAGGTTGGGCCATGTCCAAACTGGGCTGTGAGCTGCCAGATTTTTGGGGAGCCATGGAGGATGCTGTGATCGACAAGATCGCCAGCGCCAAGTCGGTCGACCTATCGATGATCGCTTGGGCTTTCGGCCATGCCGAGAAAGGAGGCAGAGCGATCAACGACGTTGCTCGAGCCGCCATTGGTCTTTTGGACGAATTGACACCTCAGTGCTTGGCAAACACTGCTTGGGCAGCCGCAAGGCTGGAAGCGCCGAACACCGAGCTTTGCCGTGCAATCGTCCGAAAGTCTCTCAGCACTGTGGGGGAGTTTGCTGACTTTGATGTGACACATCTTTGTTGGGCGCTGGCAAAGCTAGACGCAGTGGACACCGAGCTTTTCGACCGGCTTGCCGATCACACAGTTAGCTCTGGATTCATTCGGCGATTCAGCTCCCAGATGGCCTCGCAGCTGGCTTGGGCCTTCGCAGTGGGAAGAGTGCGACACCCGGCTCTCTTTGATGAGCTCGCCGCGTATGTCGCCAAGCATGCTCACGTTCTGGAGCCCCGGTACCTTGCAAGCTGTGCTTGGGCATTTGCCTCCGTAAGTCTATGCCACCCGAGCCTGGTGCAGGCGTTGATGAGTGTGTCCAAGGGCGGCAAGCTGTGGAGCTTTCAGCCCTCGGAGTTCTGCGCCCTGTCCTGGGCATTTGCCAAGCTGGGGGTCAAAGATGAGGAGGGCGATTTCATCGGCTGAAACCAGGGTTTAAACCGCCTGTTTCAATATCCGTGTCCATTCTCTCGGGGACCGAAATGGGGCTGCAGGTTTCTCTTTGAGGAACTCTTGGCTTCCCCAACACATTTTGCCACTGGCAGGAGGTGCTTTCAGACCTCCTGCAGGTGGCACTGAAGCGTTTGCCCGAGCTGGACAGGTTGGGTGTGGTGAACCTGCTGGCATCCTTGGTGGCCTCCTGCACGCGGGTTTCCGCCGGCAAGGACAGGGGTTGGACAATGGCTGAAGCCAGAAATGAGGTTGTTTGAACAACTGCTTGCACATGTTTGAACACTTTGCCCCAACCCTAACCAGGACTGGACACTGAAGCAGAGGCTGCAACAGTCTGACCCCCACAACCACCTCACGCAGATATTGGACGCGATGCTGCACTACTTTCTGGCTCATCGCCAAGAAATGAATCCAGCACAATTGGCGAGCATTTGCCAATCCTTCTGTCGGGCCGATCGTTTGCAGGATGCGTACAGCCTGGTGCAGGGAACGCGGGAGGTGCGGATCTTGGCAATTCTTACCGCGGCAGCAGAACGCTGCCACGACGCTTTGAGTGCTCAGCTCTGGGGCCAACTGGCAGACGCAGCGCCGAACTTGCCGCTGCGAGCAGCTTGCCTCTTCTGTGCCTCAGATATGGCGCAGCAGCTTCACAGCTTGGGATTGCCGTACTCCAAACTCATAGAGCCAGGCCTGGGCCAAAGCACGCCCATGGAGGACTTGCAGGACTTGGAGGAGTTTGAGGAGTCGGAGCTGGCAGGATTGTTGGTCGCTGTTCTGAGTTCCGAGGACTTCGGCAATCCTGCTGAGATTCTGAAGGAGGTGGAAACCTTTGGATCGAGGTGCAGATTCATCGAAGCCAGCCTGGGAAGCCGGGCCACAGTTCTGGATGAGCTCACCGCGCGATTGCCCCACCTTTTGGTGGACATTCGCAGCGGTTGCGGCAGCTCTGCTGCTCGGTTGGCTGCAAGGGTGCAGGAATATGGTGGTCAGGTGGGTGTTTCTCAAAGCAGGGGACACTTGAAATGGCTTGTTGCATTGTGGTTGCCTGCTGGAACCATCCACATCAATTTTGGGAACCCTCAGGTGGTTTCCATGGAGGAGAGTCCATTCCGTGTGGCCGTGGCCCGCTGCCTTGCAGAAGTGGCTGGCATCGCCGGTTCTTGGCAATGCGTGCTCGGAGATGCCGAGGATGCGCTTCCCGAGCTTTTGGCCACAAGCGGCTGCAGCTCCATTGACGTCTTGCTACTCCATGGCGGAAGTGAAGAACATTATCTCAATGAACTGAGAAGAGTCGAAGAGCTTGGGCTGTTCACCTCCGGTTGCGTGTTGGCAGATCACATGCTGTATGGGTCTCCACGATTTCTGCAGGAGATGTCGTCATCGCGCAAATACCGCCTTGAGCTCGTTGAGGTAGCGAGCGCGACAGGCCTGTGCTGTATCCAAAGTGCTGGGGGTGTTGTTTTGTTCGGTGTCCTTCTTAAGGTTGGTTTAAAGGGGAGCCAAAAGGGGGTTTCCCTATTCGACACCTACCCCGCATGAGTTCCGGCTATGATGTTCGTGTGTCGAATGTGTTTGAGAGGGCTTTCTGTGGACAAATCTAAAATTTGCTTTCTGTAGGCGAAACGTACCTTCCATGAATGAAAATAAGCTTCTCGCAGGAAAAGGTTCGGTCAGCTTTACAAAGACTTTGGCCTCCCCTCCCATTTTGCTGCCAGCACTGGCCTGCGAAAACCCTGCCGAAGAAAACACCTGCCTGTTTGAGTGCAGGCGAAGACTGGATGGCCTTGTGCGCAGTGCAGGCAATTTTGGAAGATTGCGAACCTGAAAGCGTGGCTCCACTTGGCTTGGCCTCTTTGACTGCGGAGGCCGAGGACGGTCGAGCAACGAGTGAGCACGGTATTGCCCTAGTGGTCTCACGCCTATCCCCACAGAGGGTAGCGTGAGCTGCAAAAAGTAGCAAAGTCCACAGTATTTGCACAGCGATCACCCGCTCCCTGCAGAGTGGGTTTGGTCCCTGTGCCGATTAGTTCTAATCTCGGGTCCAGCTTTCTCATGTAAGTTTTGTCGCTCAAGTTCGCTCGTGCAATCTGCTGCGCGAGTTCTCTTGTGCAATTTGCTGCGCATGTTCCCTCTTGCAACTTGTGCTACGTGTGCCCTCGTGCTGCTTGCTGCGCACGTGCCCCTGTGCTTCTTGCTGCGCACGTGCCACTACTTGCTCCACGTGTTCTGTTGTGCTTCTTGCTTTGCGAACGCTCTCGTGCTCTCATGCTTCTCACTTTGCGCGCACGATTGCCCAACTTGTTCTGCATGTGCTCTCGTGTACCTTGCGCTGCATGTGCTGTGTGCTAGTCGGCTGCGTGACAACGCTGGCGATTTTACGGAAAGAACGCTTCGCAATGCTTGCTGGGGACCAAGAGGCTCAGACAAAGAGGTTTAAACATGCTTCAGCACGAAGTTGAATCCCTGCCGAGGAGGCTTGGAAGTCGGGTCCGACGTCAAGCTTCAAAGAGAAGATGCGAAGCTTCGTCCAGGGCCTGGGCCTGATGCCTTCGCCGCGCTTTGCTGAGACTACCCCACTGCCCTCAAAAGCCAAAGCGCCAAGGCAAAATGGGGAATTGTCTGTGTCTCTGGCAGACAAGAAGCAGCCCGTGCCCGTGCACGAGCCAAGTACGGAAGCAAAATCAGCCGTGGCCCAGGAGTACCTGCGCGCTTTGGATCTCAAGCGCTGGCTTTCTTCTGTAGATCCGTCTGGCGGATGTCTTGACTACGCAGCCGCTGTGCAGAAGAGTGGATCCCTTGACCAGATTCTCCAAGCGTACCTAGAGAGAAGTGCTGGCGATGTATGCCGAATAAAGCAGGATTTCTTCCATGACCACAACATCCGTGCAGAGCACCGCTTTCGATTTGAGCGCTGGTTCAAGGAAACTTATGATGCAGAACCGGATCAGGCAGGGTGCAGAAAAAAGAACAAATTGTGGAATTGGAACGCAGGACTCTAGCGAGGCAACCGCAGACCTTCAGATCACAAACGGTGGCTTCCAGAAACCGTCTGCGGAAGGTTTGCTTGAGGAGGTCGGGGGCCTGGTGATTCCGGCAGTTTTTGAGCAGCCTTTGGGAGCTTGCGCCTTGTTCACTATTTTCCTTCTGGTTGTCTTGGTAGTCAGCGTGCGATCGCATGTGAGGACTCGGTTTGAGTTGAGGTCCGCTCCGTGCCCATTGCAGTTGACCGTTGTTTGTTGGCAACCCTCGCACTTCAAACCTTATCCCGCGATTGTTGCACCATGCTGTGATGATCTACTGCTTTAGGATTATATCTTGCATACTGCTGCAGCCAACCCGCAAACCCGCAAAAAGCTGTCGCTCTCACACGTGCATTGCCCACATTAGCAGCATTGCCTGCTTCACCAGCATCACCCGCATCACCAGCGTCACTGCCATCTTAGTCCTGCCATGTTTGCTGCAGGAGCCCATGGATTTGAAGCAATTATCCTTCGCGGAATGGCTGGTCAGCATGGATCCGTCAGAGGGGCTGCATCAGTATTTGGCATGCATTGAAGAGAGCTACGATACCGTGTCACAGATGCTTTGTCATACCAAGTTTTGTCTCTCTTCACGACTTTTCTTGCATCAAACATGACTTGACTGCGCCTGTAGCATCGGCTGAGACTTTAAAGCTGAGGATCGCTGCCACCTACACTGCGAAGAATGGACACGACAAGCTTCTGGATCCCCAGCTTTTTGTGGACTTCGGGATAGTGAATCCAGACCACCAGAACAAGTTTCACAACTGGTTCATCCAACATTGCGGCGTGAGGCTGGAGAAGCAAAATAATTAACACCGAGCTGGACAGCTGTGATGTTTTCCCTGGGCGTTTCTTTTGTGTTTTCCCTGGCAGGGAAAAAGCTGACTCCCTGGGTCCAGAGCAATGCCCAGGCGGGTGTTCCGGATTTCCTGAGATCCACTAAATTGAGGCAATCAATATTGCGGTTTAGAGTAAAGGAATCAGAGCTTGGCCAGGACAAAGTTCTGAGGCATTGCATCCGGCTTTATCCAGTGAGACACGGCAGAATGGCAGTGAGCCAAATACAAGTAGAACTGGTACCTTGGAGGCTGACAGCAAGGACACGGACACTGCTTGCGAAGCAACAAATATTGTATGCAGAGGGGAGGCAGATGCATTCCAAGAAGGCACAGCTGAGCAGGAAAGTCATGCAGCGGAAAGCAGGGCATCAGGCACTTTCTTTGACTTTGATGATTTGCCGCCAGTCCTAGGTTTGCAAGATGTGCAAAGGCATGAGCCTGAAGATGAGCTGAAACGAACGCACGAGGAAAACATGCTCTCCAAAGAGCCAGACGAGGCTGTGGACGAGCCGCAGGAGATGCCAACCAAGGATCCAATTGAGGTGCCCATGGAAGAGCCGAATGAAATTCCTAGCAAAGTGCCAAATCAAGAGCACAGGGAGGTGCAGGAGCCAAAAGCGATGCACAGTGAAGAGCTGAATGAAGAGACACAGGACAAGTCAAACGAAGAGTTACCGGAGAAGCCAAGTGAAGAGCACCAGGAGGAACCGAAGCAGCGAACGGAGGTCCACAGCGAAGTGCCAAATGAAGAGCTGGAACAGGAGTCCAAGAAGGCAACCGAACCTAAAGCGCAGGCAGATCCAAGCAACGAGCCCGATGACTTGGTGCCTACTGACCCAAATGAAGAGGTTGCGCAACTTCGCCAGGGGTCCGGAGCGTCTGGAGGCATGTTTGACTTCGACGAGCTCGAGGAAGTGGTGGATGGCGACGCAGGTGCTGGCTTTACAGCGTCCGACGTGGGAGGGGAACAGCAAGGTCCAAGTGGCACCGAGGTAGCGGCAAAGACCTGCGAACAAAATGGGTGTGAAACGGTTCTTGACATGGATCACGAGCTTGGCGAAGCTGACCAGGATGGTCAAGCTGCCGAAGAGCATGGAAAGTATGCGGGGGGCGGTTCCGAAGACCTGCATGCTGACAAGCATGAGGATGCGGTGGGCACAGCGCCTTCCGGAGGCTTTTTTGACTTTGACGATCTGGAAGAAGCTGAACATGGATGATGTTCTTCGGCCGAGGATGGCGAGGTGATGCCTGCGTGAGAAGCAGGCTCAGGCAGGCGTTCGAGGCGTGGAACGGCCTATCCCGGAGAACGGCCAGAGAACTTCCTTCGCGCACGCGCCGTGTCCCAGCTGTGCCGGAAATGATGTTGTGACAATATGATATGTCTGATATGTCTGGTATGATGAATGTCTGCAACGAGTGCCTCAATGCGCATGCTGAAAAGGCCCCTTCAGCATTGCCAGGTTGCCCGGTTTCCAAGGTCTCATTGGCTATGCCACATGCGCTTCTGTATTGGGCCAACGGCAGGCCGGGCTCAGTGGCCACGGCCTTGCTGCTGTGGCCTTGTTCCCGCCTCAGATCAAAGTGGGAAGGCATGTCGTCCTCAAAGTTACTTTCAGGGGTAGGGACCCCCAGGCCACCAGCTAGAGGGAGATTTTGAAGATTTCACTTTTGGTGGACCTGAGACTCCCGAATCCTTAAGAGTCCCCCTTTTGGGCAAGGCCTGCCGTGTTTGCAGTCCAGTTTCCAGTTTGCCTAAAGGTTTCTGTCATTGGCGGAGCTGCTGGAGGTGCGAGCAAGCCGCTGGGCTGCACGCGACAGGCTTGCAGCACATCAACGCAAGCGACACGAGGCAATCGCGAGGCCGTTCAGCTTGTGATGCAGCGCTCTGCTGCAAGCTTAGGGGTTTCAATGCAGCAGTGCAGCGTGTGAGCATTGCGCATGCATGGTTTGCAAATATTGTGCTAATCCAACGCGCAATGCAAATGGACTAGTCATGAAGGCAATGCAGGATTGGAACGCAGCAATAATTAGCGCACCAGATGCCACAACTGTCCAAAGTTGTCAGTCGCGTTGGAACGCTGACATCACCAGGCAGATGGCCATGCGGAGCAACTGTGCCGCGTGTCTCCAGCATGTTTGTATTCCGCAAGGAGTTGACGTTCACCCTTCTTCCCAACCTGGAGTTGCATGCACAAACAGGAAAGTAGTCTTGCAAAGCCCAGAGTGATCCGTGATGGAATGATCACGACAGTCAATTGTGGCGGTTTTGCGGTTTGCACCTTCACGTGCTTCAGACTTCAGGTTCATGACCGAATACGAACGCGACTTTGGATGCAGCGCATCGAAGATGTCACGGCGGGCACCAAGGACTTGCTGGATGTTGTCGTGCAATACCGACAGCAGAGGCTTTGGTCGCAAGCATGACACGTCAGCTACATTCACGCCGCTCCGTTTGGCCCAATATTCGAAGCTCTTAGGCACTGAGGCTAGCCGCCATCACGAAGCCTTGTATCAGCCAGGTTTTGCAAAGCACCAAGCTTGCACATGCTTCCACACGTGATCCTTCTTGCACAATAGTCTGCATTGCTTAGTGAAGTGCACGCAAAAACCCGGCAGGCAACAGCCCAAACCCTCAGCTAGACAAAGCCCCCAGCCCTTTCAGCACTGATCACGAGATACTATTTCCGGTGATAAGAAGCAGTCCGTTCCGCCCCTTTGGCATACGGCCGGAGACTTACGGAGCATCACTTTTGGGCAGAAGTGTACATCAAAAATAGGGACCCCCAACTTGTACTTTTTCCACTGGTTCATCTTTATCCTCAGAGAAGACGCATTCACACTTGCGCCGTGTGACTCTGCCATGCAGGTTATGCCTTCGCTCAGCGCTTTGCAGGCGCAGCTCCGGAAAGGCGGGAGAAGTCTGCTGGTTGGAACAACCATTCCATGATGCAGGATTTTGTCCATCAACAGGAGGTCATTGTTGAAAGGAAGGAGGGAACGTACTCCCCCAAAATAGGGCCCCTCCCCCATTTTCCCTTTGTGGGTTTGAGGGAAATCCTGCTCGGAAGGCCAATAACGTTTATCTAACATTGAATTTAGCAGGAGATGCTGCCCCACGGCCGTCACAGCCGAAGGGAACACCGCTGCTTGGCCAAAGAAATTTTTGAGACTGGCCCGACGCCAGACCAGGGGTTGTAGAGACGTGCTTGTCGGAGGGGCGGATACGACTTGCGCTCCAGCCGAGGTCTGGGCAGCCAAAGGCTGGGTTGAAAAGGCCGTCCGTGCAGGCCGAGACCCCTTGCATGAGGAGCTTCTAGGCTCGCGTATTCGTGCCCTCAGGCTGCCGAAGCTCCGGAAGAGGAGGTCCAGCCCCCGAAGAAACGGGTCGTGCCTTGGACAGAAAGGGAATCGACTGTCAAGAGTATTGTCGGGTGACGTGCATCGCGCTCCAGGTGACCATAGTAAAAACACCAGCCATCCAAAAGGCCAAGGCACTGGGAACCGGTCAGTTCAGCTCGGCGAATGAATTTGATTGCCTGCGCAGTCTGCCCCGGGCCTCTCGGCAAAAGTGGCAAGCCCTGGAAGTGCCGTGGCCTCAGCATTGTGCTTTGGGAGACCTGTGACCTGGCACGGAGCTGTTGATTATGATATTGAAGCGGATAGATATCTGGTGTTTTTGCACTTTGCAGGAGGCATGTGAATGATTCCGCGTTTCGACCTCTTCTCGTAGCCCAGTGGCATTTCGTGTTCAGGCAACGCCCCCAGCGCGGCAGCCTCGGACCCCGCGGCCGCGGCAGAAAGCGGCCCCGTGCGCTCCCAGGCCGTTTGACGGGAATTCCATGGGCAGCACGTCAGCCAAGTCCGCGGGCTTGCCAGCAGCAGCCCAAGGGAAAGCCGAATTTGGATGAAGTGAAGGTTGGGGAGAGTCCCAAACTGCGGAGATCCGCAAATTCAGTTTTCTTTAGATGGTTCTGGGCAGGGTTTCATTGGACACGACTCTAGTGAGGCAAGTTTCCTCTCGAATCGACTTGCTGAGGCGCCGTATCAAAAGGCTGCGATGCCGCAGGCAGATTGGATGTTTGCAGCGGATTGCCATAGTCAAGCCTCTCAGGCACCACCTGCAAAGCGTGGAAGTCATACTTGGGAGAGGAGAACGGAGCCCAAGAGGCTTAGCAGTATGCACATCACGCCACAGCAAAGCAACTTGCACCGTTGCCAGGCCTAGTTTTGGAGGTATGGAGGACCAGCGTGGCAATGTGCACGCAACCTATACATATGACATGCTTCACACATGGCGGCCACGACGGCTTTTCATTTCAAAACCACGGCCTCCAGGACGGCGCTTCCCCGACTTCCGTATCCATCGAGGACATGATCAACTCCATTGAGGCCATCGCCTTTTGACTCGCTGCAAGACGGTGAGTGGGCATGAAGCATGCGGTACAGTCTTGCTCGGCAAAGTCTTCGCTTGCGCTCACAGGCCTCTCCCCCCAGTGCAAAGCAGCGGCAGGCTGTGCAATTAGCTGAGGCTGGTGGCTTGGTGTGCCACTGATGGCGTGCAGACGTGAATCTAGATTGCAAAGGCCATGGGGCAAACCCTCCCCATTGAGCACATCAACATCTTTTTGCCGGCGTCCTAGAGCAGCTGTATGCAGCAAGAACTTGCAAGCTAGCAATATTGCTCGCATGGATCCCACCACATCAAAGATGTGTTGTGTGCCCAGGCGTGCTCTCAAATCAAAGATTGTAGAGCGAGCGCAAGGAGATGGAATTCAGGCTGTTGCGTTTTCGGGTTTGGCGAAGCCAACGCAATCTGCCCAGACATCAGGCGCATGCTTCGCAGCCGCCAAAGATGGCACCAAAGTCAGCTGCGAAGGCAGTATCAAAGTCTACTCCACCCACCCCAACAGGACACGGCAGAAGCCTTTGGGCTCTTGAGATGAACGCCTGATGTGGCAAGGAGAGGAGCCAAGCAAAGTGCCTGCCATACCAACACCAACAGTGGCAACCCCAGATGGTTTCTGCTCAAGGCCGAATCAGAAGGTAGCATCAGTTTGGCACGGATTGCCGGTGCCGATGCTGCATGCTGCCTTTGGTGCTGTGACTTGCAGTGTGATGTTGGTTTTTATGCTGATAGCAATGTTCACCAGCGAAGCGATAGTAATGCTGGCCGGTCATGCTGATGCTCCTGGCGCTGGTCTGATGCTGCTATAGCTAGACGATTGATCCTGATAATGCTGATGTGGAGGATGCTAACACGCTGATGGGTTGGCAATGCTGCTGATGATGGACAAGTCTCTGTATGGCAAAACTATCACGGATCCATCTCCAATTCTTTTAATGCTGCAGCGAGATCGGCAGGGGCCTACCTAATGTTGGTGATGCTCTTGATGCTTGTGATGCTTGCCAGGTTGGTTGCTCGTGATGTTGATAATGCGGATGATGCGGTCAATACAGGTGATGTGCATAATGCTTGTGATGCTGGTAATGTAACTGATGCTGATAATTCTGATGATAATGGTGATGCTGGTAATGCTGACAGTGTCTGGCTCGTGGATCGTTTTACAATGGCCAAGACATGTTGACTGCGTTGACGGCATTGTCTCAAAACATCTTGGGCCGAACAGGATCTAAGTTGTGTTGGTGCAAACCAAAGAAGGTCAACGTGTTGGGTTGAAGTTCACATCCGCTTGAGCTGCCAGGCCACGACTCCCAAATCTGGCTCACCGAAGCCGCTGCCTGTGGGCAAGGCTCCCATGAGCAAAGTCACGATTGCCAAGGCCGAAATGCCGGAGCCGTCGTCTCGTACGTTCGTGCCGTTGCACCTTTTCCAAGAATGAAGCGGCATTCCGGCTTGACTTGCCCTTTGATTATGAATGGTCACATTTGTGGTTGACTTTGATTTGCTTTGCTCTCATGTTGTTCTTTCGAGCTGCTTTGTTTGCCTTTCCTTTCCTTTTGCTCTGCACTTGTTTGCTCTGCCCTGGCTTGCTTTGCTTTGTTTTCGGTGGCTGTTCTGCTTTGCTGTGGCCTGCTCTGACTTGCTGTTTCTTGCGCTGCTTCCGGGTGCTTCTGGTCTGATTGGAAAGGCTTTTCTTGCTTGGCTCTTGATCTCATGTGCGAGTCTTGCTTTTCACGATACCATTCGCATGGCATTGCATTTACCCTCGTCGCATTGCATTCTACAGTGGCGTCACCAGACTTTGCTTGAATTTTGGCGTGCCATTTATCAACCAAGTTTTCTGCCAAGTGTTTGCATGTCAGAGGTGCTTGTGCCATCGCACCGCGATGTACGCAGCGATTGTACAGATCAGCCGCGCACTCTTTGCAACGATCAACACAGTTTTTCCCGTACATTGTCAGCATAATTCCCACCGTCACACCTATAAGAAATGCAAAGTTGGCACTTTGTCATCAGGCCAGTCAAAGTTTTCAAGTTGCAAGGTTGCACGTTGTGCATTACGTGCACTGTGCGTTGAGATTCGATAAATTTTGCCAGTAGTTTTTCGTCCATTTGTAAGGGACGTGGGGGATTCACTAATTTTCCGCAAACACCACGCAAGAACTAATTTTCCCATGTCCTCTCGGGAACTGCATATTCTGAGCATGGCTCAATGTGACTCTACTGGTCACATTCTTCTTTTGCATGTTGGACCAGTGCTTCGTTATCTTCCGTACCTAACCAAGTCGGCCTTGCCGTGTTTCGCTTTTGCCGGCGCATTCATGAGCAGCCCGGAAGGCGGCTTTGTCCAAGTCAGCTGGAGTCATCGCTAAGGCCCGCAGCCTATTTGATGCATCCTGACAAGGCTTACCCTCCGGCCAACAATCATTTGGAAGACTAGGTTCCTTTTGCGCCCCGAAGTGTCCTCTCCAGTGCCATGATAAAGAGGGTCTTGGCACATTTGCTCTGCGGGGTTGATGGCTTCCTGCTGTGCCACGTGTCAGGTCATGGCTGCTCAGGGGGGTTCTCCTCCAGAGACACTTCCACCAAAAGCAAGCATCTCGAAGGCGCTTGAAAGATTAGCTGGATGAAACTGCTTAAGAGCGCATAGACTTATCTCAAATCAATGCCCTGTGCAGTCGAAAGCTCCGATGAAAGCCAAGGCCGTTCGTTTTTCAGAAAACCCGCTTTGCTGTTTGCGTGCCAAGCTCAGGCGGAAGCGCCCGTGCCGGAATTTCCGGAAAGCCTGGGGCCCACTCCAGCCAGATTCTTCTCGGATCGTTGCGTTTGGATGGAACCGGATGGATCCGGAAGTCAGCCTGAGCCAATCGCAGGCATGTCGAAGGCATCTCCACCTGCAAGCCCTGCAGATGTACCAGATGATGCCTTGCACCCCTCATGAGCGCAAGCGCTGGTATGGTTTGTT